AATAACCCATCAGGATTTGCCTAGTGTGGGTACTTTACTGTTCTCACGCATGCTGCAGAGACTTGTGCCAACTTCCAGACGTGCCAAGGAGACACACAAGCCCAGCTCTGGCCTCGATTTCCAGGCTCTCTGGAAGGCAGACACACGCAGTACAAGCAATTGGTTACTAGGCAGGCGAGTGCTTTGCCGGCAAGCGTAGACTGGGCCCCACCTGGCCTTGGGGTCAGGCCAGGCCTCTTCGGAAGGTGACGTTTGACCCATAAGGGGAGCCTTTCGGGGCAGGGGCAGGCGAGGTGGCGGGCTGGGCAGCCTAGTGGCGGCAGACCGCGGGCAGCGGGCAGGACGCTCTGCTGGAGCCCGAAGTCTCAACTCTGGCAGGAGCCAGAGCCGGCCTGAGCGCCGCCTGAGCAGGAGGGGTTGTGTTCGGGATCTGGGGCTACGCGGAGGGGTATCCAGCTCCGGTCCTGGCCCTCGCCCATGGTCGGGGCCGGCTCACAAGCTACGCTGCCACTCGAGCTGTCCTGAGGACGCCCTATTCCCGGTACCTTTCGCTCCGGGTCAGGAGCGCGCGGCGGTGCCCTGGGCCGCAGGTACGTGGGGGCGCAGGCCCAGGCCGTTCCCGGGGCTCGCGCGTGCGGGTTAGTGGGTTCCCTAAGATCTGGCTCGATTCTCCAGCCCGGCTTTCCTGTGTTCCGTCTTGCTGTTTATTTCCCAAGGTGGAGTTATTTATAGACAGGAATAGTGTATTCGGAGCTGGCTCATCTGTCTTTTTCTGGTTGGAGATGCTGGGCTGGGGCTGGATGCCTTCGTTCTTCCAGGGCCGAAGCTTACGGAATGAGGGCTGCACAAAGCTTGCCAGTCGGGCTGCATCATCTGCTCTTGGCCTTTTCGGGAAAACGTCTCTTTCTTTAGGGCTTTACCATTTTATACGCAGCAACACACTAGCTCAGTTCCCCCTACTGCTGTTTTATTTTAAGCTACCCGCCCGCGACGCGTTGGGGCTAGCAGGTAGAGGGTCGTAAGGGAGGGGCGTTGCAGCTTCGCTGGGCCCGGATGCCCCCTTCCTGCAGACTCAATACTGGGTGCAGGAGCGTGTTAGGATGGTTGGGGTATGTAAAGGGATGCATGTATACTTCAGTTCTCCCACTCACGTCTTTCTAGACTCAGGAAGTGTCCAGTATGAAAGGTTTCTAATAGGAAGTATTCCCTCTCACACACCACCTCTGCCCTCCTCTCCGCTTTAAGCAATGAATGGCCTTCCCTGAGCATGTAAGTTTCTAGGAGGAACTATTCAGGCTGGCAGGAGAAAAAGAAAACTCAGTTGTATGACTCATCAGCCTCTCCATCCTTTCAGCACAGGAGAGGATGCTTGGTGCTGGGTGGTACAGTGTCCACACAGCAGGGTGGATTTTTTTTAAAAAAAAGTTTTTTGCCATAGGGCATGTGCACTCCTCAGAGAGAGAGAAAATGAGAAGTCACACCCCAGGAGGATGGCCACGCTGCAATGCCTTCTCCCTCATACTCCTCTTGGGATCTCAGGTACTCATGCACAGACCTGGCATGTTCCCAAGCCGCTGGGTCTGGGACTGGAACCACACAGTCGGCCGACGAGGACCCAGCTGCCTCAATCACCACCGCCCCCTTTTCTCTGAGCAGTTCTTTGCCTGCCAGCACGCCCTTGTGCCTGCAGTTTGGCAACTTTTTCCTGGTTCGTGGTACCTCTTCTTAATCTTATCAGAGCAGGAAAGCTCCTCCTCGCCCCCCCTCCCCCGCCCCCCACTAGGGTTTGCACTAGAGGATCTCAGGCAGACCAGCCTGGACTAGGTGCTCACATGCCAGGATGGAAGATGGCAGCTAGAGCCACGGTCCTACTCTTCATTTCCTAGAGGACAGTGATGATGAAAGCAGGAGTGCAGGACTTCAGACCACCTACAGTCCTGGAGCTCCCTGGAAGAGCTGTTCAGGGCTGGGACTCCCAGTATTGTGCATGGCCAGGGGAGGAAATTTTCCAGCCCGCAGGCTTTTCCATGCTGGGAAACATCAAGGAGACGCCCAAGGAGGGAGCCCCCACCCCTGCTGCACAGACCTGTTGGAATCCGAGGTCCTACTCTGAGAAAAGGAGGTATCACCCACCTCACAGAGCTCTCCTGAGCATGAAGTGACGGTGCCTTGCCTGGCTGTTCCCTCCCTGCTGACTGTACAGGGGGTTGTCCCTAGTCACTACCCTTCGCCCTGCGTACTGGTCTTCTCCCTTTGGCCTCATGACCTGTACTACCGTTATTCTGCATTACCACTGTGGAGGCACTGACCATCAGGCGTTCACAGAATGTGCTCATGTGTGCACTGGGGAGTTGGAGTCAGAGGTGGTATTTGAACCCCTGCCAGGCTGTGGTCTTTAGTGCTTCACCACACACGGCAACACACACAGTCAGTCCTGGGATGCTGGGAGGGACACACTGGCTGAGGCTTTTTCACTTTGGTTATAAAGTGAGGCAGTAGAAATGGTGTGCCCTATTTTTGCAGATTGATGTCCATTTACTGAGGAGCTTTAGACTTGAGGCTGCTGAGTGCCCAGGGGTAGGCAGGGAGGGGTGGGTACATGGAAGCCTGTGGCACTAACCACCCCAGCAGGGGTCCTGATGAGCAGGATACTGCTCACAGGGGTCTCCCCTCCCCAACCACTTTTCCATGCCTGGGTTGTAAAGGAGCACTCCCCGCTGCTGGGGGAAATGAAACTTGCTTTCAATGGGGAGAATGCCACGAGCACTTTGCTCTCTAGTGGCCAACTGGGTGAAAGAGGTGGCAGTTGTACTTCACTTTACCAATCGAGGCCTGTGCCAGTTCGGTTCCAAAAACTTTTATCGAGCACCTATGGTGTGGGTGCTACACAGCAGGGATATGAAGGTGAATAAGTCACTGCAAATGCGAGTTTTGTTAACTGAATAATTCCGTAACTAGTAAGAATCTCGGAATTTTTATAAAAGTTTATTTCTCCAATGAGTTGAGAGAGAAGCACTGAGAGTCTTATCACTCCACAGGCCCCTTTCTCCCCCTGGCCCTCCAAGTCTTCAGGATCCTGGGCATTTGTTTGGTGTTTTCAGGCTGACCTGGTCAGCAATAGAGCCCCCAGCCTCAGAGGGCACTTGCCTTACTGCTGCGCCACAGTGGCTGGGCCTTTTTATTTAAAAAAAAAAAATTACTTAATTTTACTCATTCAATTTATTTTAATTTACATGCACACAGAGAGAGAGAGGAACTGAGAAAGGCACCGGGTCCAGGACTTGAATTGTGGTCAGCCATGTGGGAGTGTCCAGAGCCTTAACCACCATACCACCTGCTGGTTCCTCCCTTTTTTTTTAATAGTGAAAAACTGGGGTCCATAGATTGAAATAATTTGCTTAACACCTCATGGCTAGTTAGGAACAGAGGAAAGAAAAAACAGGGATATTAATGAAATTAAGTGGAAGGTCACATTCTAATAAAAATCATAAATTGCCAGGGGGTGTGTGCATGTGCCAGAAAGGAAGTACCTGTCAGTGGGGCACGGTCACACCCAATTCCTTCTTCATCCTGTTGGCATTTGGGGCACACATGCATACGTGGCTCAGGTTTTTTTTCCAAGCTGCTGGGTCATATTCAAACTGCACTGTCAGTTATGTGAGATCCGGCTCCGTTACCCACCACGCTATGTGGCTAGCCCCATCTCTAACTTTTTAAGTTTTTATTCTGAAGTGCTTTTAGACTTACAAGAGTTGCCAAACTGGCAGGTTCTTTATACCCTTCACCTAGCTTTTCCCCATGTTAACTTGTTACACAATCATAGATTTATGAAAACTATATTAACATTGGTACACTATTAACTAGACTTCAGATTTCATCAGTTTTTCCAATGTCTTTTTTTGTCCCAGAATCCAATTCCAAATGCACTGTATTGAAATTCCCTCCCCCTTTTTATTGCCAGAGGGTGTATGCACTCACCAGAGACTGAGAGAATGTCCTATGGGGTGTGGTCACACCGTAATTTTCTCCCCTTCTTCTCCCCCCCCCCCATTGTGGGTATGCACATACACTTCTCAAACTACCAGGGCTGGGATTTAAACTGGGGTTGGCCATGTGGGATCTGATTTCCTTAACCACTACACCATGGGGCTGAATTTAGACTCTTTAACTTTTGGTTTTCCTACACTTGAAGTTCCTTAAAACCATCATGAATCACAAACACTCATTGTCCAGGAAACATGTCACAAGCTCCCCTTTTGGTGTGTATGCACACACACTAGGCGTGTTTTCTAAGTTGTTGGGTCCAGGACTTGAACCATACAGGCAGCCAGGTGGATGGAGTCCACCTTAACTACCATGACATTGGCTGGCCCTGCGCACGCTTCTTTTGTATAATGCTTGTGTTTTTAGAACGTTTTCCCTAGTGATCTTATGAAATCCACCTGCAGCCTTGTGGGTGCAAATGTCATAGATAATTCCAGCTGTCTGATATGGATACAAAGGTTTGTCCTCAGGGCTGGCAGTGCCAAAGCCTGAACTTTTTTCTGCCTCTTGGATCTTGAGTCTTATTTCTGGTTATTATTGTTGATTGTTGTGTATAGAGTATTCTTTGCTCTCAATTGCCTGGTTTATGCAGTGAAGGACTTCAGATCCAGAAAGGTACAAATGCAAACCTCAGCTTCTCCCGCTTGTGGGACCTTGAGCAAACGGCTCATTGGCTCTGAAATTCAATTTCATCCTCTGCAAAAAAATGAGAACCTTGCATCGCCAAGGGGGTTAAATGTACAGTGACCAGCGCAGTGCCAGTTAGGTGGCTGGAATGTGGAAGGATAAATGGATGGGCACCATGAAGGGAAGACAGACTCGGTGAGGACAACCAATGGGTGTCTCCAATGCCAACAAGACTCCCTCTACTTCCTGATGGGAGGGGAAGATACCCCAAGAGTTTGAGGGATCAGGGCTGTACTTCAAATTTTTCTGAAAAAGTTTTATTTCCATGAAAGACACATACACATACATCCAACAGTATCCTCATGCCATGATCCACTCCTGGTCTCAGTTGGTCAGGATCACTGGCTTGCATGCAGTATTTAAAATAGTCAACCACAGAACATGCTGGATGAAGCGGAGCCTTGGGGAACAGAGGAGGGATGCAGGGAATTGAGGATGCTAACATGCCAGTTCCCAGAAGAGCAGAACAGGGGCCTGGGTTAGAGAGATGAGACTGTGTGGAGGTCCAGTCAGTTGCTAATGGAGTAAATAAGATGTATGGGTGGGGAGAGGTCAGGACTCCATGATGACTACATTCTGGGTCCTGTGGAAAGGAGAACGTGATGTTATGAACAGAGGGATGAGAAATCAGGATAAAGAGGTAATCTGTGGGAGAAAATGCATTTGGTTCCACTTGTGTTGACTTACCTGTGCCTGATGGTTTAGGCAAGGGTCTACTGAGAATGCAGATGTGTTGGTCGACGAGGGCTGCCATACTGCTGACCAGGTGCCTTAAGGGGAAGTTCTTTCCTCAGTTTTGGAAGGTTTATGTCCACAATCAGGGTGCTGCAGGTTGGTGTTGTCTGAGGCCTCTCTCCTTGGCATGCAGGTGGCCACCTTTCCCTCATATCTTCATACTGTTGCCCTCTCTCCTTAAAAGGAAACCTGTCACACTGTTTGGCAGGTCACCCTACTAACCTCATTTTACCTGAATTACTACTTTAAAGGCCCTCTCTCTAATACAATCACACTCTACTGGGGGTTAGAGCTTCAACATAAGAAATTAGTGTATGTGTGTTTATAGGGGGTACAATACTACTCAGTCCATAACATAGAATTATGTAGGTGTTGGCTAGAGGTTGGATAGCCCTAATTCAAAATGCTCCCAAACCCAAAACTTGTTTAGTGCTAATATGGCACAAGTGGAAAATTCCACACCTGACCTCACACATAGGTCAGTCAAAACACTGTAATACAAAAACACCGTAAAAATTCACATTATGTGTGTATAGTGTATATGAGACATTAGTGAATTCTGTGTCTAGACTTGGGTCCCACCTCCAAGATATAATGCATGTGGTAAATATCCCAAAATCTGAAAAAAAAAGGAAATACAAAATCTGTTAACACTCTGACTCCAAGCATTTTGGTAAGTGGTATTTGACCTGTTTTTCAGTTTGGAAAGAACCCAAGGGAAGAGTTTCAGAAAGAATAGGGCTGGACACTAGCCACTTTGTTCTTAGATCCACCCATACTTCCCACTGCTTCCCTCTTCCCCCGAGGCTCTCTCATTTGGCTTCCAGTAGCTTTCAGCCAAGAGATTAGGAGGCCAGAACAGAGAAGCTGGGGCATTTCTCTTCCTCCTACCTCTGCTGGTGCCTCTGCAGCAGTTGTTTCCCCCAGGACAGATCCGTGGGGTCCACCTCCCACCAGGGGACCTGGCTCCTGAGCTAACTCCACCTTCTTTGTGTGCCCCCAGCCCTGGGGGTGGCAGAGGCTGTCTGCTCTTTGTAGTTCCTGGATTGCCTTGTCCCATGTCTGCTGTTTTAGCACTGTCATCACGTTTCCAACCAGTTCTCTTTACTGAATCTCATTTGAATATCTCCTGGTTTCTGCTGACTGGTAGAAACACCAGGATCAGGAAAGGCAGAGCATGCAGGAAGATGGTAAGGATAAAACAGAAAATGATCAGATCTTTGAACAATGAGGGCAGAAGCCAGGCATCTAGAGCTTAAGAAGGGGATCTCTGCCAGCGTGATGGGTTTATGCCAATTCTCATTAAGGTTTAACTTTGTATGTACTTTGGAGACAGCATCTTTTCATTTGATTGCCAACCTGGGTATACTGTTTTTTTTTTTTTTTTATAATTTAAAAAATTATTTTATTTATTCATTCATTCATTCATTTATTCTAATTTGACCAGGGAGACAGAGAGAGAGAGAGAGAGAGAGAGAGAGAGAGAGAGAAAAGTGAGAAAGCAAGCCACCAGGTCCGGGACTCGAACCATGGTCTACCATGTGGGAATGTCCAGCACCTTAACCACCACGCCACTTGCCGGTCCCTGGGTATACTGTTTTTGAAGTGCTTATTTATCTTTAGCATCCTTGCTGCAACTTTGTGGTTTGACTTGTTCTTTCTTCAAGATTTAGAATTCTCTATATATTTTAGATATAAAGCCTTACAAGTTGTGTGTGTTACAAATGCCTATTCTCATTCTAAAGCCTGTCTTTTTTATAGTGTCTCTTAATAAATACTGGTTCCTAATTTCGATGTACCTTTGTTTCCCCTTATAACTTGTGTTCGCATCTTGATTTATCTGTCTCTCTTTTGAGGTCACAAAGATCTTCTATGACTTTTTGAAAACTTCACAGTTTTGCCTTCCATATACAGATGGTTCGCAACTTATGGCTCAATGGGATTTTTTGGCTTTATGATGGTGCAGAAGTGATATGTATTCAGTACAAACTGCTTCAGATAACCATATAACTGTTTTCACTTCTAGTATAGTATTCAGTAAATTACATAAGATATTCAACATGGTATGAAATAAGCTTTGTATTAGATGACTTGTCCAACTATAGGCTAATGTGAGTGTCCTAAGCACATTTAAGATAGGCAAGGCTAAGCTATGATGTTCAGTAGGTTAGGTGTATTAAATGCATATTCAACTTGCACTATTTCCAACTTATGATGGTTTTATTAGAACATGGTCCCATCTTATGTTGAAGAGCAACTGTGTGTGTGTGTGTGTATGTGTATATATATAACAGGAGACAAAAGGCGAGAAATCACCCCCCTCCCCGCCCCTCCACCCCCCAGGGAGGATGGTCACATTGCAATCCCTTCTCCTCCATTTCCCTTTCAGGATTTTGGGCAGGTACCCACAGGCACCTGGTATAAGTTTTAAGCTGCCAGGTTTGGGACTTGAATTGTGGTCAGCTACATGCGAGTAACTATTATACCATCTGCTGGTCCCTGAATAGATGTTTTAAATCATGAGATTTATTTTTAAGAAAGATTTTTGCTATAGGGCATGTGTGCTCGCCAGAGACAAAGAAACAGAAAACGAGAAATCACCCATCCTGGGTGGGGGAGGATGGCTGCATCATAATCCCTCCTCCTCCTGGGATTTTGGGCACACATGCACATGTGCCCAGTGTGAATTTTAAGCTGCTGGGTCCAGGACTCGAATTGCTATTGACTACATGGGAGTCCAGAGATGGAACAATTATGCCATCTGTTGGTCCCTATAGAATTTTTTTTCTTTTTAAGTAATCTTATTTTTTGTAAATGCAATTAACTGTTAAAAAACAAAGCAAAGCCAATTTCTGGGCTTTTTGATTCCTGAATGTCACACTGCCTATCTGTCTACTATTTAAAAAGTAATTACTTAAATTTATTTATTTATTTATTATTTTTTAAAATTTTTTTATAGGGCATGTACACTCAACAGCAGGGTGGGGGAAAGAGGGGAGGGAAGAGATGGGGCAGGGGAGAGGGAGAGAGAAAGAGAGAAAGCAAGCTACCAGGTCAAGGACTCAAACTATGGTCAGCCTTGTAGGAGTCTCACACCTTAACCTCCATGCCTCCTGCTGGCCACTATTTACTTTTTAAGCCTTTCTTCCTCCTAAAGTATTATTATTATTTTTTAAAGTGCCAGACAGCACATGCATGCGCTAGGAGAGATGCAGGGGAAAGCACTGTCATTCCCAACAGGGCCTAATCACATTGCAACCTTTTCCTTCCCAAGTCTCCATTTTGTGAGGATCCTGGGAATGTATGTGATTACCCTGCATGTTTTTCAATTCACTGGGGCCAGGACTTGAACCCTAGCCGAGCTTTCTTGTAATGCTTCACCCCTGTGCTATGGGGCTGGACCCTAAAGTATATTCTAGGTGTGTGTGGGGGGTCTATATATGGTAAAAACTCTTTTAAGCCCTTGTTTTACTTAAAACATTGTTTTACTTAAAACTTAAGTTTACTTAAAACTTTCATTTTTTTTTCTCTACTGAAAAATACTTTGGCTAGGCTGAACATTATTTTCTTTTGGCACCTTTAAAATACTATTTTGCTGTCTTCGATCTCAATGCTGAGTCTGGAAGTGATCTGTCTTCCGGTGAAACCCAAATTGTCCTTACTTGGCTAATGGGAGCACCTCTGAGTCATCTATATACTTCTGAAGGGCCCTATTTTTCTTTGAAGCTTCTGTTTTCTGGCACAAGATATCTTAGTTTATCTAGTATTTCCCTAACACCTAAATCAACCTTTTCTCCAAGAATCACTAGTCCTTTTAATGGGAATGACAGCACACATTCCAGGATTTGGGCATTGGTGTGCATTCAAAGGGTAACATTATTCTAAGGCCATCTCAGTGACTAGAGCTAGAAGAGATGATTTTCTTTCAAAGATGTAAGTACAAATAGGTATTTCCAGAAGCTTAAGGTGTTTTTATTTGTTTGTTTTTTATTTTTATTTTTTTTGCAGAGAGGCAGAAAGCGATAAATCACTCCCCAGGGGGGATGGCCACACCACATTCCCTTCTCCTCCATCCTCCTCTTGGGATCTTGGGCATGCACGCACACGCGCCAGGTGTGAGTTTAAGCCACCGGGTCTGGGACTCGAACTGCAGTCAACTACCTGGGAGTCCAGTGACATAGCCATTACTCTATCTACTGGTCCTGCCTAAGGTGTTTTAACAAACCCTTTCAATGCTTTAATTTTATCCATTTTTCTTTATTTTGATCAACAAAATAAAGTCACTTTTTACTTGATAACTGTTTCGAAACGTGTTAATACAAACATTAAAAGTACTGAAAAGAGGGACCAGCAGATGGTGTAACGGTTATGTAGCTGGACTCCCATATAGTTGACTGGATTTGAGTCCTAGACCCAGTGGCTTGAAACTCATGTTGGGGGTGTGTGCATATGTGCCCCAAATCCTAAGACGAGAATGGAGGAGAAGGGACTATGGTGTGGCCATCCCCCTGGGGGGTGATTTCTTGCTTTCTGTCTGTCTGTCTTTGGTGAGTGCACGTACCCTAAAGCAAAAATCTTTAAAAACAAAACAAAATCTACTGAAGAGCGATCAAGATTTTCTGTGTAGTTCCTTTAGTTCTTAGAAAGTACCTTGGTGAGGGCCCTAGTAACTCATGTCTCACTCAGTATGGCTCTTTAAATATTCATTTCATGGAGAGTTCAGTTCCATTATTTCATTTTACTCTTATCTGGAGGGTAGTGACATTCTAATCGCTGGTAGTTTTAAGTCCTTTGACGGTGGTAGAAACTAGCAACCAGTTCCAAGGCCCCCCCACCCCACCCCATAATGAATTCCTGGATGATGGTTTCTCTTAGCATTTCACTTTGAGATCAGTCAGTTCTGTCTATAATATTTTGAGTAAGTTTCATACATTTATCTATTTCTTTCCTTCCTTTTTTGTTCTTCAATTTGATGAGAGAGAGAGAGAAACAGAGAGTGAGAAAGCAAGCTGTCAGCCAGGTCCAAGACTCGGGCTGGCCATGTGGGAGTCCAGCGTCTTAACCACCATACCACGTGCTGGCCCCCATTCATCTATTTTCACTTAAAACATGAGATTCCTATCTGTGATCTCTACTCAAACACATCAGTTTTGTCTATTAGTTAATTTGTAGTGGAACCTACACATTTTTATTTATTATTTTTTTATACTGTCACAGGGCATGTGGCACGTGTACTTACCAGAGAAAGAGAGAACCCCCTTCCCCCAGTGGGGCATGGTCATGATGCAATCTTTTTTCTCTATTCCATCAGGATTTGGAGTGAACATCTGGTGTGTTTTTCAACTCACTGGTGTCAGGATTCAAACTATAGTTGGCCATGTGGGATCCGCCTCCCCATACACAGCACTTAGCCACTGAGACATAGGGGCAGCCTCCTACACATTTTTACAAAGTTGGTAAATGCATTTTAATTCTGCTCAGTCCTGTCTTTTTTCTTTTCTTTTCTTTTTTTTTTTGCTATAGGACGCGTGCGCTCGCCAGACAGACAGAGAGAGACATAGAGACAGAAAGCGAGAAATCACCCCCCAGGGGGGATGGTCACGCCGCAATCCCTTCTCCTCC